CCTTATCCATACCCTCACCCCCAGACAGCCCCCCCCAGAACTCATGACCCATCCAACCCTCCCCCTGCTCCCTGTCTCTTGACTGCTCCCTCCAGAACCCCCCTGCCCCTTCTCCGACCCCCCGGACCCCCTTACCGTGCCGCTCAGAACAGCGTGTCGGGCTCCACGTGGAGCCCGACACGCTGCTGCGCTCCCCAGTGGAGCACCCAGCACGGTCCCCCGCCCCCACAGAGTGCTGCGGAGCGGCGCGCTGGGCCGCGGGGGAGGAGCTCCAGACTGCCGGAGGCCCGTTGCGAACATCCGGCGATCTGCGAATGCAGGGAGGAGGGGAGTGATTTCAAGCAGCAGGGGAAAGGAGGGGGAAGCGGAGGAGGGGCTCTGGCTGCCGGAGCCCCATGCAAGTGGCACGATCTGGCCGGTGGCCCTGTCAGCCGCACGCGCTCTGCGTGGGGGGGAAATCCGGACATTTACAAATTCCTCCCGGACGCTATTTTTAACTCAGAAAAGCCAGACATGTCCGGGAGAATCCGGACGAATGGTGGGGGTGAAAAGCACTTGCTCCTACTCTTTGGGGAGGGGAGGGCCCCATGCTGCTGTTCCTGTCTCTTTTGCTGGGGAGTCATATAGAGTGTTTGCCGGGCTAATGGAGGGGGAGCCATGCAGCTTTCCCCAGCCTTACCAGCAGCAGATGTACTTTGAATCCAAAAAGACTGCTACATACAGTAAGATGAGTCCTGATCCCTGACTCTCTGCATGGACAGTGGTGCGAGTTCACAGTTTTAGAAAGACTGTAATCTGGTCTATAAAACTACAAACTAGCAGTCAATAATGCAGCAGACACTGGACCGACTGGCCATGGGATATCATTTTGAAAACTATCCCTGTAACAGATTTCACTTGACACTAGCAACAAATCGCAATAAGGCAAAAAGCGTAGCAGCTACAAAGCATTGAAAAACAGGATGTGAAGTTAGGACCCCTTTGGGAACAAGCCTCCAGCCAAAACACGAAGGTAGGTCAAAATTTAGTAATAAAGCAAGAACTCCTCTGAGTAAAATCAAAAAACGGTTTAGTATGGGTGGCACTACAAAATATGCAAACAGATCTGCTCTTATGGGTGCATGGGCCCACCCCAAACAGGCAGAGGACAAAGACAGGTTGTCAACAATGGGAAAGGGATCTGTAGATGCTCCTTATCTGTGCCAGACACAATCCAGCTATCAAAGAAAGTAAAAAAGCTCTTCTGAGATGGGTCCCCAGAAGTTCATGGAAAGATCAAATCAACTGTACTGGGGAGCTGCCCTTAGCACCAAGGGGTAACAAGTATGTGCTAGTTGTTGTCAATGCTTTCTCACATTGGGAGGAGATAGATATCCACAATAAATATGTGACTGCCCTAATGAGAGGGAAACAATTGGTGAGCAATGTGTTCTGCAGATGGGGGGAGGGCCTAAGGGTTATTGACTCAGACAATGGGAGCGGATTTGTGGGGTCAGTTGTCAAAGAAGTGTGCACCCAGCTGGACGTAGAACAAAAGGTTCCCCTTCTCTGTCAGCCAGCCAGCAGGAAAGGTGGAGCGAATAAATAGGACCATCAAAAAAAAAGGTTCTGTAACAGGCAGAAATTGGGATGAAGCGTTAGCGCTGGTACCAATGCGTAACAGAGCTAGGTATGCAACTCCACAGCCTTTTCCCCCAATGAGGCCTGACGGGAAGACCTATGAATGTGTGGAAGGATATAATTAACCTGGTTCCAGTCTATCTGGCCACAGAAGCCTGGGTACAGGACTTACAAATGGAGATTCTCCAGCTACAGAGGAGTGTGGTGGTGGAAGAAAGGAGAGGAAAGTGTAAAAAGACCAAGGCAGGTTTGATGCCAATGGTGACCTGACTGAGCACCAAGTGGGATCTAAAGTCATCATCCAGGATCAGGCTCTCTGCAAGCCTTTGCCAAAGGCAAAGTGGTCCAGTCCATGCTTAGGGTTGGCTCCACTTAACCCCTCCTTATAACTTCATAGTCCTGGGAGGTATTAGTAAAGAAATACCCCTCACTTTAGAATTTAAAGCAACTAGAAACTGAGAGGCCCACCCCATCTCTATTCAGTTTACAAACTTCAAGTTTGTCAGATATGTCTCTGGGAGCATAGCAATGGCAGCATTCTCTAAGTATTGAATATATTTTTGCTTTGAATACGGTTACTGAAATCTTTTACGTTTCAGGACACACATTTAGTTCTCAGAACTATCATCGTTAAAATATGAAGTCGCTTAGTGAATAAATGAGACATTGAAAAATTTCCTACAGAAAACAGCTCTTGAATATCTAAGCAGCCAAAGTTATATAATCCAGGGGTAGAGAGTAGCTGCCCAGTACATATTCTACAGGCATGGGGAGGAAATTCCCAGCATGGAAAAATAAAGAGAGATTAAAGAGGCATTGTTAAAATAAGACAGAAAAAGATAGTGGAGACAGAAATATATGTTAGTACCATACCATCAAAAAGAAAAATATGTTTATCAAGTGTGTAGTTTTGGACTGTTTTTTAACCAAAGGGGCAGCTAGATCAGGTGAAACTTGGAGATCCTCGCAGCCCCTGGGGCTCTGAACATTACCATGACAGTAGTCATCTCTTACCAATAGAACCTTCATAAACCTTAGTCCATCAGGAAGCACCATCTAATAAAGCAATGATGATAGATAGATTTTACATTCATGCTCCTTCCCCATGATTTAAGGCAATAGGAAGTAAATTGTTAATAACGTTTTAACCCTTCAGCCCCAATGAGAGAGAAAAAGAGAAAAGAAACTAACATATCAATATCAGCTAGTACCCAACATGTTTACAGGAACCATGCCAGATGTCAGAGAGCAATACATAAATTCCATACTGTTACCTCAAAGGGGAGCCCAGGTAACTCTATAGGTATGGTGGTGTGGGCATCAAGAAATAAAACAAGCCCCTTTTACTCAGAAGATCAGACCCGCCCTCTGCTGTGTCCATCACCGGTGGACTCAGATAGGCCTCCCTGCCTCTTCCCTATGTGTGCTGCGAGAAATAAAGACTGACTATCGGTAAAGATAAAATAACAGGTAAGTGTATTAGGGAAATAGGTTACAGTAAGGGAAGGGGTAAATGTGAATGAGTAATTACTATATAAAATAACTCAAAACAGTGAAACAACAGCTTTTAAAACAGGAGCATGAAGCTCAGGCCCAAAATACAAAATCACCCTGGCAAGAACCATAAAAAGCCCGACTAAGAAAACCCTAGTTATCTCACTATTTCCAAGTGGCGGCGGCGAAGTCCAGGACCTGCACTCGTTGGGTAACTGGAACCCGGCCGCAGAGGAGGAGCACTGGAGAGTCCCACGATGTCACTCGGGATGGAGAAGTAGACCAAGAACCCCCTGGCGATGTCGTCCCCAGGAACAGGAGCAGGTAAGGTTGTATACGGCTTCTTCTTTCTTCTCTTCACTTCAGGAATGATGGTCTCCTCCGAGGATGCTGTGAAGGCCTGAACCGCGCATGCACAGTCACTAGGATGGACTGCGCCACTTGTCTGTGGTCACAGTTCTTTTACGCAGTTAGTGGTGGGAAAACATGGTACAATCCCAGCAAAGGTGGGAAACAGTCTGAGGTAAAATTGTCCTTGATATCGCCCAGTGGCAGGAAAAACCAGTTGGAGCTAGCTGTAACTAGGCCAGGATGACAGGGCACTAAGGGTCACAAGATGGAGTTTACAAAATGGTGATTCAGACTCCATTTTGAATTCCTGCTATATCCTTACAAATTACATATTGGGTTTAACATACACGCATTTTAATAAGCTATAACAGTATAACAAATCACACCCAACAATACACATTGATCATTCAAGAGATGCCTTGTCTTGTAAAGGGGAGTTTGCAGAATTTGGAGGCATTTTTCTTCTTCCTGAGGGGAACTGCATGATACTATCCCCATTCTTAATATAGAGCTTAGCCAGGTATTTAATAAACTTCCTAGCCAATTGTTTCACTTGGTTAAAAGCTACCCTCATTCCAACTACATCACGGCATAATTTTGAGAGAGCAATATTTTAATTGCTGGTTCTTCCCATAACCACTCCATGTCTCTCTCTGGATTTTTGCAGTACTGTATAAGCTTCTTAGTGGTAAAGTTCAGGCGCTTCACAATCAAACGCTCTAAGCTGAACTCCGAGAGCTGGCTGGGGGACAAGGGTCCAGTATGCCCATTCTATATGAAAATAAAAAACGACTAGAAAATCCTACAATTTAGCAATTTAGGGACAAATTCAGAAGGTTTGCCTTTCTCTGTTCCCTCAGGGACACCTACAATCCTCATGTTACATGGTCTAGAGTGGCTTTCTAGACCAATTACTTTGGACTTGATATCATTACAGTTCTTGATAACCTGTTATTTGTTTCTTTAAAATCATCTTCCACTTCAGAAAGTCTGTTCTGCTTCACCAGTCTGTCTGGCTAGAGCTTGCAGTGCACACGGTCTCGGTCATGGTGATCTGTCGGATGGAAACTGTTGATTTCATTTCAGCAGTCTGAGCAGCAACCTTTGCTGTTACAGCTATTAGCCCTATCCCATGAGGCTCAGGTACCATTTGTTTGGATAGGTATGGAGGCAGCTCTCCTCTGTTTTTTTCCATACTTTTAGATTTGGAGAAGCAGCAGCAGAACTGGAGGGCATTTTGGACACCTCGATCCCAGTGCCCCATGATGTCCAGGGCTGTACTTCTTGACTCAAAAGCAGCATATGATGCCACCTGGTACACTGGCTTGCTGGTCAAGATGTCACCTTGATGGGTTGTTGTGACTATAGAAATGATGCTTCGAAACAGACAATTCCAAACCATGTTAGGAAATGAACTGAGTGCATGGAGGATCCAGAAGAACAGGATCCCTCGGAGATCTGTTCTTGCTCCTACTTATTTCCAATATGTTTTCAAACGATCTGCCTACAACTACCTCAAGGTCATTCAAGTGTGCAGATGATATCTGTCTAATGTCAAGAGAAAAACTTCAAAAAGACTGGGGACAACCTGAACCAGGATATGGCAGACAACCCTGAGGACTGCAAGAAATGGAGACTTAATCCCAGTATGTCAAAGACCGTGTTGTCATGGTTTCATCTTAATCAAGCTAATGCTTCACAAGAACTCAATATGTTCTTGAACGGAGAATGACTGGCTCATGACCCAAAGCCAGCATATCTAGGAGTCACTCTAGCTTGCACTCTTACCCATAACAACCAAACCACCAGGAGAGCTCAGAAAATTAATAGCAGAAATGGCCTCTTAAAGAAGCTTGCGGGCTCAAGTTGAGAAGCTAATGTGCAAGCACTGTGCAGTTCAGCCCTAACTTTCTCCTACTCAGTTGGGCAATACTGTGCTCCTGTGTGGTTAAACTCTTGCCACACCATACTAGTTGTTGTGCTATTGAATCAAATGATGAGAATAACAGGGACTACAGGACCAACAAACACTGATTGGCTATCAGTCCTTTCTAATATTCTTCCTTCTAACATCAGGCATAATATTGCAGCAGAGAATCTTCTTGACACAATCCAGGAGATAACCACCAGCGCCACTTTTCAAAGATACATACATAGGCAGTGCCTCGCCACTGACTCATCATCAGAATGCCTATCTGCACTATGTTACTCAACTGCTCCACGGTGGATGCTGTGACACTGTGGTGAGCAGAATGGGAATGAGCTGCTCCCTCCTAAGAAATTTCTCTCTCATCACCCCTGCCTTCAGGCTGCCACGTTATGTGTGGTACAAGCTCAACCATTTCAGATGTGGGGTGGTGAGGTGTGTCGGTAATGACCACACCTGGGGACTCAGAACAGCCCTGCGTCGCTGCAGGTGGGGATGGACACTGCACATACTGCTTTTCTCATGCTGGTCTCTCAGGAGGCTGTTCCAGACTCCATATTGCTGACCCCAAAGCTACTGAATGGCTAAAACACACGTGATGTCTACCTAAGCCCCTTTGACTTTTTTTTTTTTACATACACATTTCTGTTTTTATCTCCCTACTTTCTATTTTATTCTTTGAAGCCTCTTCCATCTTTATTGTACCACTTGTGCATTCACTAATAACAATGGAACTGCAGAGACTCTATAGAAAAGGATTGTTGATGCCATCACATCCAGTCCGCTCTGTCACTCGGCCAGAAGTTTCTCCCTTTTCCTGAACTATGTTGTCTTCAATGTAAAAATGGCTGTGCTGACAGATCCAGGGCCCAGAACTGGTCACTGGTAACCACAGGAATAAAACCTGTTCCCCACTACACAAAACCTATACACACTAGTACAAAGAGTGAATGAGCCTCCAGAGTCATGAGCTGGCTCTATGAACAGAGAAAAGACTTTTGTTAACGTGTGCACACTTAGCACTGGTTGTGAGGTATAAAAAGGCAGTTACCCAGCTGGAGTACTAAGGCTTGCAGCCTGAATCCCGCTACGATGGAAAAGGTAAGAGAAACCTATCTGGACTGGATTGTTTGGTATGTCAGTCTGAAGCCAGGGACCTGAGTCTCCTCTCATTTACATCTGAGTTACTCCTGGCCTATATCAGTAGGAGAGGAGAATCAAGAATGCAGAGCTAGGGGACCTACTGCCTCTATTAGTCCCTGTATATTAATCTCTCACAGCCCAATTCTGCTTTTGCTTACACTTGTGTAAATGAGGATCAATTCCACTGAAGTCACAGGAGTATATCAATTTATCATCACTGTGAGTAAAATGCAAGGTCCAGACACTTCAGGCTTAGTGTGCTGGACGGAGAGAAATTGGAATGCCAGGACGCAGTCACACTGTATAGGATGTTACTGCAAACTCTGCCGTTTGTTTCTCGCACTAGATCATCCTTTTCGAGGACAGAAACTTCCAGGGCCGCTCTGTTGAGTGCAGCAGCGACCGGCCGGATTTTCAAAGTCAGCTCAGCCGCTGTAATTCCGTCCGCGTGGAAAGTGGCTGCTTCATGCTCTATGAACGTCCCAACTTCCAGGGACAGCAGTTCTTTCTGAAACGGGGGGATTATCCTGACATGCAGTCTGAGGGTTTCAGCACCTCCATTAAGTCCTGCCGGATGATCCCACCTGTGAGTTCGATTTTGCTTTTAATAAATGGCAACGTTGCCCAAGCCACCGTCATAAGGGCCTTGCTTGATCATTTTCAGCGGAGCTACGGAGGACTGAAAACGAGAACAGTTTTCTTCCTCCTAGTGGCCGTCCCTCCAGGATGACTGGGGAGACATTGCAGGGATAGGATAGGACACCTTCCACCACTACTGCCTGTTCAGGGCCTGGGTGCAGCTGTTCTGTGGTTAGGAATATGGACAGTGAACAACAACATACTTTGAGTTAAGAAGGGGAAATGTTTCTGTAACTTCTGGGGATTTGGAAATACACTGGGCCCAGTCCCCTCACACTGGTGTAAAACAAGGAGTAACTCCCTGAGGCCCACAGTTACACCAGTGTGAGGGGAGAATTGGGCCCAATATTTTCTGTGACTCTTTAGAACAAAGTCACTTTTCTGTTTCCTTGATTCTGGGGCTGCTGAAGCCTGAAACGCCCCCTATCAGAACTTAGTGTAGCCTCCTCCAGCAGTTCTCAACTAGGGATCATAGAATCATAGAATCATAGAATC